ATTATTTTAAATAGAACTGACTGTAAGTTATTAACACTAGTTCTTCGTGGTTTTTCATTTGTCTTTTACAAACACTATGTTCAAAAAATGCACACATACCATATTTCTGGACAGTGGAGAACTAGTTTCTGAGCAGCTGATAATAGAGATGATGAGATCAGTAGTCAAAGTTCAAACCTCAGACACTTTTAATCATAGCTTTCCACAATTAAGGTAAGATAAAGACTGAATTGCTGGAGTCTCTGTGCTGTAGAACATGATCTATCATTCAAGCAGCATATTCCAGCAGTTACAAACTAACCTGTAGTTGAGTGCTGGACTTCAGAGTCTTACAGCTTACACTAAATGTTCAGCTATGGAACTACAACCGTGGTCTGCCTTCTTCACCACAGCCTTCTGCAGCTGCTTGATGATGAGGAGCTTTTTGCTATATCTGTGAGGATATAGTTCTTCAATGGTTCTGAGAAGAAGTGTCATAATGGGGAGTAGTGCAGGATGTGCAACTTTTTACTGAGATATGAGTAGCTAAAATATACAACCTTTCAGTGAATCACAGAATATGCCAAGTTGGAAGGGACCCACAAAGATCATCGAGCCCAGCTCCTGGCCCTGCCCAGGACCATCCCCAAGAGACACAGCATATGCCCAAGAATATTGTCCAAATGCTTCTTGAACTGTATCAGGCTTGGTGCTGTGACCACTTCCCTGGGGAGCCTATTGCAGCACCCAGTCACCCTCTGGGTGAAGAACCTTGTTCTAATATCCAACCTAAACCTCCCCTGACACAACTGCAGACCCTTCCCTTGGGTTCTGTCATTGGTCACCAGAGAGAAGAGATCAGTTCCTGTCCCTCCTCTTCCCCTCACAAGGATGTTGATTACTGCAGTGAGGTTTCCCCTCAGTCTCCTCCAGGCTGAACAGGTCAAGTGACCTGAGCCACTCCTGATACGGCTTCCCCTCAAGTCCCTTTACAATCTTTGTTGTCCTTCTTTAGATGATCTCCAAAGGCTTAATATCTTTGTGGAGTGTGGGGTGTGAGTGTGTCTAAGCAAGTGTTTACTCCAGTTCTTCACAGAGTTTTTGCAGAGGTGATCTCACTGTTCTAAATCAGGGGTTTCATTAGTGGCTTTTGGGAATATAACACCTACCATCATTGTCTGGCGTACCTCATTCCTTGATGTTATATGTGTGTCTTGCATGATAGTCCTCCTTGTCTTGCCCATGCACACCTCGCAAAGCCATATGTATTGCTACCTTGCAGAGGGGTATGGCTGCTCTCTTTATGGCCCGGTATGAGTGCTTCAGATGTGGTGCCAGTTTCTGGCACATGGCCTGTCTCATTGAAATTAATGGCCCACTGCTCTTCATGCCATGGCTAGAGGTCTAAGTGCTCCTGTCCATGGGAGGAGATGAATTGCCTTGACCCTTTCCCCTGCACTATTCTACAGCTCAACTCTGCTAAGGCCCAGAGCTATGGTCCTCAGGTGTCACTATGGCAGATGCTAAAATATTTTCCAGTGTGACATCAAGTTAGTGTCTTCCTCTGGAAAAGAGTCCTCTCCTACCCTTTCCCAGCCTGAGGATTATCTGCTTACTGCAGAGCGTGTTCCAGGTGCTGAAGGGGACTGGCGGGCATGTCCTTGCAGATGCCAATTGGAAGGCTCCAGGACCTACCCCAAGGAGCAGGAGGCAGTCTGAGGCACCACTGCAGCAACTCTGTGTATCTGCGGGCCCTGCCATGGCTTCAGGGTTGGCAGGTGCTGCTGGTGTGCCCTCAAGCACTCCAATGATAGACACCACTGACAGCACAGGTTTTGTTAATGTGTTTTTTTTTCCTTCCCTAAAATACATTAGATTTGGTCCAGCACCAGTGCAGGAACGACTCAGCTGCATGGCCAGGAATAACTCCATCTATGTGGTTGCAAACATTGGGGACAAGAAACCATGTAACTCCAGTGATCCCGACTGCCCCACTGATGGTCGCTACCAGTACAATACGGATGTCGTCTTTGACCCAGAGGGGAAACTGGTGGCTCGTTACCACAAGGTAAAGTGGCCTTGGAAAGGCAGGAACTAATCTTCCACTAATTCCAGATTGTCGCATTTGGAAAGAGAATTAGATGCCAGTTATTGTCCCATGTCAGAGTTCTGCTTCTGTTTATAATTTAAAAGAATCTCTCTCTTTCTGTGAAATGCTGATGCAAAATTTGCATTTACTGTTATGTTTCTCAAAACAGACTGTTATGACAAATGATTATTCTGGTGCAATTTAGTGGCATATGATTTTGATTGACTTCCTCAGGTCATTAACTCCCTACTACTGGAAATCCTGCTGCTTAAGTAACTTCAGTTTTCAGTGCCAGGTTTTCGCCAGACTACCCCTTCATGTTCCAGGATTTGAAAATGTTCATCTGTATCTCATTATAGATGAGTGCTCTGATTTGAGTAAGACAGGCCCTTTCCTATAATTTTTTTCTGATGCTGTGTCAGCATTGTTTTTATACAATGGGAATTATTTGGATGAATCTATGGACCTAAGATGAGTATTAAAAGAGTTGAAGGCTTTGAAACATTTATACCCAATGAAAGTTCTTTCAATATTATGTTCCTACCTGCAAGTTCCATCAAAGTTGTTTATGAATTGTGTGCCAGATATCATGCTGAAGTGGCTAGAGTGAAGTCAGTTGTTTATTTAAAGTACTTTGGGTCCAGTGTCTCACCTGGTTGTTCAGAGATGATGCCAATATATTTTATGTGAGCAAATTTTGGATGAAGGGAACACTGATAATGTGAGTCTAGTCCCCCCCCTGCCAACCTGGCATGACCCAGGTGCTGAATTATAAGTTCAGTAAATCTGAACCTCTTTTCTGACTAGCTGTTCATTGTCCAGGCCGCTTGGACAATAATAAAGAATTGTTAGAAAACATGTATGTGAAGGAAAAAGGAAAATGTTGGAAACTGAGAATGTTTGCAAACTTGGATTTTTCTGTTGGCTCATATCATCTGCCTTTCCCCCATCAGCACAGCCTTTGTTTTCTTCTCTGTTCTACAGTCTTCCAGTACTGTCTCATGCTTCATGATGGTGTTGTGTACTTACAGCACTTCTGGACATCTCCACACCAAGGTCACCTATTCTGTCTCTTGGCACCAGAACCTCCCTGCCCCTCTTAACGTTATTATTTCTCTTCTGTGTGCATTTGGGTCACCAGAAGTGTAAACTAGATAGGGAGAGTGGAGAGATTATTTTTATGATGACATCAGCAGACCTGAAGACTTTGAAGACTGCTTTCCTAGCTAGATGCGAGGGCAATATGTGTCTCCCCATATCCACCTTTTGGATACTATGATCATACAATTTTAGACTGACTTCCTACATGTGGCAGGTTCCTACACAGGTCAAAAATTTTCACAAGTCATTCTGAACAGTTTTATGGAGTGACTCCAGGATCTCGCAGTAAGTGCCTCTCTAACTGATTTATCTTTTTTCCTTCCCCTACAGTATAATCTCTTTATGATGGAAACTCAATTTAATTACCCAAAAGAGCCAGAAGCTGTCACCTTTGAGACTCCCTTTGGGAAGTTCGGCATTTTCACTTGCTTTGACATCCTTTTCCATGAGCCTGCAGTGGTCCTGGTGAGCAAGATGCAGGTGGACACTGTGCTTTTCCCGACGGCTTGGATGAATGTCCTACCATTTCTGACTGCAGTTGAGTTTCACTCTGCCTGGGCTATGGGGATGCGTGTCAACTTCTTAGCTGCCAATACTCACAAGACCAGCTTTGCAATGACAGGTAATTTAACTCTCACTGTCTGAAAAATCTTTATAACCATGAATCTATATTTCTTTTTCTACAGGGTGATCTTGCAGAGGAATATAATGTGTTTATCTGGAAGTCTAGTCACCAAATTTTAAACTTGACAGATCCTATCCCTGTTATTACCATACAAGGCATAGAAAAACTTTTAGTGTTTTCTTTGCCCTAGCTTCATAGGATTTTCCTTTCTTTCTCTAATGTCTCTAAACAAGTAGTAAGTTACTGCTCCTTATACCTGAATAGAAGTTTTGACACTTAGGGTCTTTTCCTCTCCACTTCTAAGTCTGTGATTGAATGCCAAACTGTAAATATACTTGTAAACCTCATACATGGCGACATTTATTCTGGCCAAATTGAAGACTTATTTGTAGCTGTATTTAACGTGGTTATGGAAAAGCTTTAAAAACAAATTTTCAGACCTGCTGCAGTAACAGTGCTAAGAAGTCTGCATTTTCACTTCACAATGTAGGACTGATTTTTTTAGAGCTTAATTTATAGGATAGTATATTTCAGTTACCCCAGTATCTTCACTGAGCTGTGAGATCAAAGTATTGTCTTTGGGTTTCTCATTTGACACGCCTGACAGGCTTCCGCTTGTTGTCCGTTTTATGTGGCTCTTTGGCAGTGTTGGGTTTGGGAGATCTACTTTGATTTCCCTCGGTTGCTTGGTACTGGTCAGATGTGAATTCCCCACACTGGGAGGAGTTCTCAGCCAGTTTAAAGGGGGCTGGACAGCTGCTCCCTCTTTCTGTGTTCACCAGGCCTGGCCTGTGATACTTGACTGCATTGTGTATTGGATTGTCTCAATCACAGGTGGCCCTTTCACTTCAATTAGCTGAAAATAAAGGAATTACCAAGTAACTTAATTGCATACAGGAGAAATATATAAATACAATCAGAACAGAACAGAACAAACATCCTCTGTGTTTGGCTACACTGAGCAGACCTCATCCAGGGAAATAAATGCTATTCTTTGCCAAAGCACGAGCTTTGAGTTGTTAATGGTCACCTTTAGGGAGACTAAAATCTCTGTAATCTTTATGGAATAGTTGATGAACTAGAAGTAGCTTATCACTTAAAAGAACAATATGATTTTTTTAATTCTTGGACTGACCGTTGTGTTCTCCTCAGGAAGTGGTATTTATGCACCAGATGGAGCCAGGACATACTCCTACAATATGAAAACTGAAGATGGTCAACTCCTCATTGCTGAACTAGATGCACACCCTCGTCTTTCTCCTGCCTCCCCTCCTGCTGTCAGCTGGAGCTCATACGCTTTGAGTGTCAAAAGATTCTCACAAAATGACCGTGATTTCACAGGAATTATCTTTCATGACCGGTTCACTTTCACTGAGCTCACTAAGCCTGGGGGAAATTTCACTGTTTGCCAAAAAGACCTCTGCTGTCACTTGAGCTACAAGATGGCAAGGAAACGAGATGATGAAGTTTATGTGCTGGGTGCTTTTGATGGGCTTCATGTTGTTGAAGGACAGTACTATCTGCAGGTAATTCTTTGGATGAGGTTACTTACTTTAGGAAACTTTTTTACAGGGAGAAACTTTCAGCTCTGTGGCAGAAAATGACAAGGATTCTCTTGTATGCTGGAGTCCTAGTGTTGTTTTTGATAGCAATGGAAAGGAGTTGCTAAAACATCCAAGCCTACTTACCTTTAAAACCAACAAAGGTAATGGAGAGGTCTCTAAGCCTCTTTTAAATTCCCAGAGCGCACTCATGATTTTTTTGGGTGTGCAATATTGGCTAAATTTATGTCCTCTTCTGTGACTATCTGCAGTAATTATTCTGAATCTCCATTGCATCACAGAATCACAGAATAGTTAGGGTTGATAGGGAACTCTGGAGATCATATAGTCCGACACTCTGCCAAGGAAGAGTCACCTAGAGCAGGTTACACAGGAATGCATCTGGGTGGGTTTTGAATGTCTCCAGAGAGGGAGAATCCACAACCTCCCTGGGCAGCCTGTTCCAGTGCTCTGCCACCCTGAATGTAAAGAATTTCCTCCTCATGTTGAGGTGAAACTTCTCGTGTTTTGGTGTATGGCCATTGCTCGTCATCCTTTCACTGAGCACCACTGAAGAAAGTCTGGCACCATCCTCTTGGCACTTGCTTTTGAGATATTTATATGCATTGATGAAGTCCCCTCTCAGTCTTTTCTAGACTAAACAGACCCAGCTCCTGCAGTTTCTCCTTATAAGAGATATGCTCCATACCCCTATGGAGATGATGCTCCTCCCCTGGACCCTCTCAAGTACTCCTTGTCTTTCTTGTACTGAGGAGCCCAGAACAGGACACAGAACTCCAGATGAGACCTTGCTGTATCTTCATCAAAGAGTTGCTCTTAAATATCAGTTGATCATAGCTATCTTTATGAGATAATTTAAAGTCACAGAGATGTTAATTTTTTGTCATTACCTAAATCATAGCATCGAAGTTTACTGAAATGGCATATGACTTTTAGTGGAAATATCCTATCTTCCTCTCTTTTAATCAAATGTTTAGGAAGACAGTGAGTTACATCCTGGTTGAATTTGCTTAAAGCTGTATTTGAAAACATTCTTTGCTTTCATAATTAAGTTATTGTGGCAGTAGACTATACTTTTTTTTTAGTTACTTCTGTCTGTCAACACAGCCTCTGCATACCAGCTGGTACAGACTCCAGGATGTGAGAGGAGGTCTTAACCAGAAAACAGCTCATCTAATGCATTTATGAAGGTAGCCTGAATAAATTCAGTTCTTGGTGAGCTTGGTTGTAAAATTTATTTTAGTGGTTGTGGAAGCTGCCATATCATCTCTACCAGTACTGAAAGTTCTAGAGGAGACAAGAATTTCTATTCTTCCTTTTTCCCTCAGTATTTTTTCATTTCTTCAGAACATGTTCTTTATTTCTCTGCTTATTTGCATTTCAACACAAAATTATGTACATTGAAGAATAATACTTCTGATTTTTGAAAATATGCTTCTGTCCCCCAATATCTGATAGGAATAGAAAAACTCCATCACCTATTAGCAAAACCAGCCAGCATCCTTCAAATCACTCCTGAATAATAGGATTGCCAGTGCCCTATCTCATATTTCCTCTTGAAGACTATAAATATTTATCAGCTAGATAATGAAGGACAACACTAATTCCTACTTTCCTCTATATGCTACAATTACTAACACTAAACTCTAACAGAAGATGCTAACTTCATCACCCTGGCCTATATTCACCAGGATTTTGATAGGGAATATCAGAATCAGATTTCCCATGGACTACCAGACCATCTAATGAAGTGTCATTACCAACATGTACAAATACTAGTAGGCAGACCTGGGTGTACCTTTGCACAGTGTACCCATGAGAAGGACTTTGTTTCATTTCCCTAAAATTTCCATTCACAAACTTAAGTTGCACATGGGAAAGGTACCTTCAAATAAGAGAGCTGGCAATAGGAAGAATGAGTGGTAGTGACAAGACTGGGCTTCAGAGGTGAAATAAGGTTCTCTGGCAGCACTTACATCAGAGACAGTCTATTTGTATCTACTAAGGCAATGCAGGTCTGGAAACCTCCCAGTCAGATCAAGGGGTGAAAAAAAAAGTTACAGCTAAAAAGGAGTTGCCCAAAGATATGAAAAAGGTCCTGTGACTCTCATCTGCTCTGACACATACTGGCTTTAATGACACAAGGCTTTCCTATCAGAGAGTTTCTGTCTTGCTAAATACGTTGTTATCTTCTCTTCCCCACAGATATGCACGCTGCTCAAGTGCAAGAGCACAAACCTGGACACGTGTGGGCAGCCAGTGGAGACGGCTCAGACCGAGTTTGAGATGTTCTCCCTCAGCGGCACATTTAGCACCAACTACGTCTTTCCAGAAGTGTTGTACAGTGGGGTGCAGTTGGCCCCTGGGGAGTTCGAGGTAATGAGGCACCCTGGAGCTGTGTCATGCTAGGTCCTCTGCAGGATAGTCATGGAATTAACTGTGTCATTACAGCCAAAGCGAACTTGCTCATAGTGAATAATTAATCTATTAAATACCTAATAATGAAATCACTAGTTTCAGTAAGAGATGTGGTCTGATGTTCCTTCTTCCTGTTTGTCACATTTTTCTGAACTCTTGGTGTGTTCATATAGGTACTCCTCTAATGACATCCTTCTCTTACCTTTTTCAATCAGGTACTGAATGATGGACGCTTGATAAGTAAGACAAAACCAACAAAACCAGTTGTTACTGTGACACTTTTTGGACGCTGGTATGAAAATGATCATCTGAAACAAGACCCGCAGCCAACGGACATGATTGAAGCTGTACACTTTTTACATCCAAATGAGATACAGCATCCTCTACTACAACAAAACCTGCCACCACTTCTTGGTCAAAACATGACGTGAATCATCATTTCTTGGAAATCTCTGCTGAACCAAAACTTGGAATCGAAACCTCACATTATTCAGGTTATCAGTTCTGAAAACGGCTTGACAACACCTCCTGTCTGCACTGGATGCTATTCAGTGATGGAACTGTTTGCAACCAGTAAAAAAGTCACTGAGTTACCCTGGTATCACACAGCAGTTCCTCCCTCCCATCTTCTATATGTCTTTCTAGTTGTATAGCACCAACATACGTGAAATACGCCTTGTCCTTTGCTCCTTCCTGTTAATGCTGGGTGGTGCTGCCCTGCAGATGAATTTGCTTGAGGGATTAGAGGATTTAGAATTCTACTTCAGGTGAACTACTCCTGGTGAGAAGGCACTGTTCACATCTTTGGTTCCTTTTCTCCCCCAGTGAGCTGTGTTTTGTTGCTGCTGCTGGACCCTAGTGACCTTCTTTCAGCACATCAGTTTATAAACGTGCATGATTTGTGGCTGTGTCCTTAAGAGTGGTCAGAGACCTCTGTTAGTCTTGTTTCTCCTTTCTTTTTTTCACACTGGCACCATTCCTGGTCTCACCATGATGCTCTCGAAGTCCTCAATCTCCTGTATTTCTGTTATGGAGCTGATGAGACACTGGGAGTGCAAATACTCTCCAAACTCCAGCGCTAATTACCACTGCTGTGCGCCGTATGACCTTTTTTGTTTTCAAATGTAAATAAATAACTCACATGTGACATAACATAGTCTCATGTCTCGTAAACATAATGACATGTTTATCAAAAGCTGCAGACAATGTTCTCTGACTCATGAAAGCTCAGCATCATTGCTGCTAGAGCCAAGCTGTCTTAAAACCTAGTTCACTGTTGGAGTCAGTTACTGTCTGACCACAGACTGATCGCAGTCTAGCAAGGCATTATCCAGTGTGGTTCTCTTCCTGTGGGTACAAATTCAGTGCAGATACTGTACTTGTGCCCTGTGAACCTAGTGGGTGATACCACAACTTTCTCCCAGGGAAAGGATCTGGATTTAAGGGAAGTACCCAGGAAGGTCTCATCTTAGGAGGAGTTTTCTGGCCAGTCTCAGAACTGAGAGGCAGCTTCTTCAGGTTTGTTCATTGCTGTTGCCAGTCCTCTGGATAAGTGAATGCGTGTGCTTGTAGTATGTAGCCTAACCCTGAACCTGGTGAGTATCTTGAATCCTGGATTTGGTTCCAGGTCATTGTTTTTTCCTTAAGGTATATTTGTACATTGAGTGTTTTCCTGTAGAAGACTGGCATAAGCCATCATGGTACTAAGTTCTTTTTGCTACAAAGATTGCATAATACTTATTGTGAAATGTGTTATTGCGTGAAATGAGTCAAGCATACAGAAAGTAATCTCATGCAAGTCCACTCATTACCCACAAACTGACTTGCTCTGTATAAAGACAAGGCTGCGTGTAGCCACGGATGACAATAAACACTTCTTCAAGGGCAGTGCAGCCAAAAACCGTTTTGATACCTGACAACTGAGTCAGAACCAAAGAAGGTAAGAAACTTGGGTAACCAAACACAAGGGATTTTTGTGCACATGCAGCTTTAGCTTCAAGATTTCTTCTGGAGTGATCATAAGAAAGTGGTCATAAGAAATCAGGTTGCAATAGGTAAAATTTAGAAATTGTGGCTCCTATTCATGATGCTCCTCAAACAGAGACCTTTGGGCACCAGGGATCTTCAGAGCTCAGTTACTGAGTAGTGGGTGTGCTAATGGGTATTCTCAAACAATCAGCCTGCCTGGCACCACCCTGAGATGTGCAGCAGCCCCTAAAGACCCTGAAACTCTGAGCCGGTGCTGTGCTGAGCTGGGGTAGGGGCTGGCCACCTGCCTCCTGCAACCATGCCTGCACCCCTCACTGCCAGGTTTGGGCAGGAATGTGTCCGTGCTCGTCTCTACCAAGATTTCCTGAACTTGTTTTCTTGTTGTGACTCAGGCTTGCCTTGAGCTGTGTTACTGCAGCAATGCTGTCTCTGAACTTTCTGTAAATCTGTCAAGTGATATGTTTCTTCAGCTGCAGCACAGTGGTGACTTCTCAGTGACTTCCCCGCCGGGGGTGTAAGGCAGAATTGCTCAATGCTGGTGGCTCTCTTGCCTTTGATATTGTGAGATTTTTCGGGCAGGGTGATTGCATTTCCCGGTATCTGTTGGCTTTCTGCCACCCTGGAGAATTCCCAGGTTTCATGCAGGACTTCCTCCTTTAAAACCCATTCTTTCTTTGCCCACAGACTCCTCTTGGGTGACTTCCAGGCTCCAGACATTGCGTTTCCTAAAGCTTGTGCCTCTGCCGTGTTTTTGGTGCTGTCTGCCCGAGAGGCCTGTCACCTGCAAACTGATGTCAAAGCTGTCTGTGAGCACAGCATAGTCTTCGAATCACAGAATTACTGAAGTGTTGGTTTCTCCTGAGGAAGCTTTGATGCTGACAGAGGAAAAATCAGTCTTTTGGGTGACACAACATAGTGAAGAAGAAGATTTTTTCAGGGTGAAAAATATTTTCTTTGGTTTCCTGCTAAGCGGTAAATGATGAGCCAGGTTTTTTTTCTTCCACCCTCACAGATATACCATGAGTTCTAACCAAGGTTTTTCTAGACCTCACCTGAAACTATAGTAGTAATATTCTATTTACAAAATACTGTGCTAAAAACTGCCTTCCATGAGAAAAAAAACACAAAACCTTCTTTCTAAGGTAATTTCAAATTGCTTATGGTGCAAAAACTTCCTTTTGAAAGGACAGTAGTAAGAAAGAAAATCTGTTAATTCTTTCTCACATAACAATCAAGCATGTTAGTTCTAGGCATAGAGGTTAGCACAGTTCAAGGGATAATTTGCAGTGTGAGCCCAGCAAGGAGGACACTCTCAAGGCACCCACTACAACTATAGTAAGCTACTGGCCAAAAGCAGGAAGTATGGCAGGACCACGTGTCTCATAAGTGCTGGTAAATCATCTGCACTCTGAAACATGATGACTGTACTTCATGCAAGTGATCTGCCTTCAGCACTGTCTGAAGCTTTAACTGGTGGCACCATGTGCAGTAAGGCTATATGGAGTAGTGTTCCCTAAGCAAGGGAGTCTGGGCTCACACCAAAATGGGTTTAAGAGCCTGGAGAGGGATGTGCAAATGGAATGTGCAAGTGCTCCTTCTAATTGAGCCCCTTGTAGATTAGCATTGCTTCTGACAAGCTCTGTTAGCTTTTTGTTCTCCTTTTATTTTAAACATTTCTTATTGGAAACAAGATTCCATTCCTAGAAATGTTCCTTTGACTTTTTATTATAAATAAATGTCCTGATTGTTGGCAGAAATATATTGTACCTTCCCAGATTACTCAACAGAAGATTATTCGGAAAGCAAACTTATTAGTCTTTATTCCTCCTCTTTCTATCTGCTTTATATTCCCCATGCCTGATCCAGGAGCTGCAAGGCACCAGCCATGCTCCCTTCCCAGCCTCTCCTGCACGCTGGGGTATTTGCACTCACAGTCCTTCAGGCCCTTGCCTCCCACACCTTCATTGCAGCCGTCTACGAGCATGCGGTCATCCTGCCAGATCCCACTGACAAGCCTGTTTCTCCCGATGATGCTTTGGCCCTGATGAACAAAAACATGGATGTCTTGGAAGGGGCCGTAAAGGAAGCCGCCCAGCAGGTACTAGATGTATCATGAGGGTTGTTAATTAGTGTCTTCTGCTCCATCTGACCCCCTTGATGGGTGAGGTTTTAACAGAGCCTGTTGTGACAGGGTGCCCACATCATTGTGACTCCTGAAGATGGCATCTATGGCTGGAAATTCACGAGAGAATCCATCTACCCGTACTTGGAGGATATCCCTGCTCCAGAGGTGAACTGGATTCCCTGCACTGACCCCTC